AGTTCAAAAGGTTCTTCTTTCATAAAGATCCTTGGAAAGACATTGGTTAAAGGGACATCAGCATCCTTTAAAAGCCTACGGTAGTTGTCTCTGTGTAGAATATATAGAGGATAGTGCCATTGGTCCTGAGAAAACCAACACTCTACACTAATATATAAGGATTAGCAGAGGTAATTTGCTTTCAACCAGCAGAGTACATCTACAGGGTAAACTCTTCCACTATTATCCATCAACTACTTAGCAAAGATATTGATCATCTTGGCATCCAGTAGAATACCACACTGAGTCGCCACTATAATGCTATCAAAATCAGAACTGATGAGCAGCAAGTAACAAGTAACTTAGATGTGTTAACTAGATACATGTATTAGACCAGCAATTGGAAAACTACAACATACTAATCAAATCCAGCCTGCCCCTGATTTTGAAAAGTTTTATTGAAACACAGCCATACTCACTTCTTTACGTGTTACCTATTGCTGTTGTCTTGCTGCAGTAACAGAATTGAATAACAGAGACTGCATGGCCTATAAAGCTTAAAACCTCTACCGTCTCCCCCTTTATGGAGAAAAGTTGGTGGGACCCACTCTAGCTGGTTTGGCTCAGTGGATAGAGTGTCGGCCTGCGGACTGAAGGGTCCTTTCCAGGCAGGGCACATGTCCGGGTAGCAGGTGTGATCCCAGTAGGGGGTGTGCAGGAGGCAGTCAATCAATGATTCTCTTACCACTGATGTTTCTAACTCTCCCTCCCTTCCTTTCTGAAATCAACAAAAGTATATAAAAAATAATAAAGTTGTTGTTGTTTATTTTTAAAGTTGGCGGAACCCTATCCTAGAGTAAAGGGTGGGAGTGTGGTAGGAGCTGAGGACAGAGGAAAGATGGAATCATGTTATAAAATGCCTGGTTGTTAAGCTAAAAGCAATAGAACTTTACCATCAAGACTGTGGGTAATTAATAAAGAATTCTGACCAGGGGAGTGCTCTTTTCAGAAACATAATTTTTCATGTAATCCCTCAACTGTGCAATGCCATGCAGCTCAGACATTTCTGAAGCAAAAAATAGGATCATGCCAGGTTGACTGAATAAATAGATAAATAAATGAATAGATTCTAAAGCAACTTGAAGCAGCTTATTTCACAGATGCTCCGGTTTCTCAGATCTCATAGCCAAACATATTTACTGAGCTCCAAAGTCTTGGCTTGTACTATGTAAGGGTCCTCAGATAAAAATGACTAAACAATGTCCTCAATTCATGAGAAGTTCACAGCCTAATAGGCAGGCAGACAAGTAATCAATTATACAATTACTAGAGGCCCAGTGCATGAAAATCATGCACATGTGTGGGGGAAGAGAGAGTATGTGTCCCTCAGCCCAGCCTGCACCCTCTCCAATCTGGAACATCCCTCTCATAACCCAGGACTGCTGGCTCCCAAATGCTTGCCTGCCTGCCTGCCTGATTGCCCCTAACCGCTTCTGCCTATCTATCTGATCACTGTAACCATTCCCCTGCCAACCTGATCAATGCCTAACTGCTCCCCTGCCAGCCTGATTGCCTCTAATTGCCTCCCCTGCCAGCCTGGTCGCCCCAACTGCCCTCCCCTGCAGATTTGGTACTCCCAACTGCCCTCCTCTGCAGGCCTGGTCACCCTCAACTGCCCTCCCCTTCAGGCCTGACCCCTTCAATCTTCCCTCCCTTACAGACCTGGTCCCTCCCAACTGCCCTGCCCTGCTGGCCATCTTGTGGTGGCCATCTTGTGTCCACATGGGGCAGCCATTTGTGTGGTGGAGTGATTGTCCATTTGTATATTACCCTTTTATTAGATAGGACAATACCATGAAGTCAATGAAGTACAACTCTATCAACTTCATCAGTGATTCTCTTTGGGTGAGTGAAGTTATCAGTGCTCTTACTCTGTCTTTTTTTTCTCTTCTGTTTACTATTTCATTAATTCTAAGACAGATTTTTTTTTCATATTTTAGCATTTCTAAATTGAGATACAATTTACCATTAAGGGTGCCTTAGACTTCATAAAATAGATACTGTCACTGCCAAGTTGCCCCTTGCTATGAGTGTAGGATGTTGGAAGTTGTTCATCTAGCACAGGAAACCAGATGTGGAGTTCATTCAAGATAAAACCAGATAGAGAATATATTTTTATAGAATAGAGAAAAAGATCTCATTGTAGAATTCAACACTTCTGTATGGCAATGTATTTGATATTCACCACCATTTAGTAAAGTATCAGCCAGGAGTGAGTCATCTTCTCAGTGGAGTGGGGCGCCCAGGGGGAAAGGTCTTTTCTCACTAACAATGGAGCTCTTGTTGGTGGCTCCAAGTACTGTAGCAGTTTTAATATCTTAGTTAAAACCTGGTAGTTGTTTTTCCCTTTTAATATAAGAAAAAACTCCTGTTGGAACTAGTGTGAGTCATACATCATAAACATTCGGTGCTGGAATTCCCATGGGTTTTGAAGGCCAACACTTTAAGCTGACATTTTTTAAAACTACACTGTAGAATGCTAGAAAACATATGTTAAGCTTTCTGGTATTAAGTCATGCTATAGTATTTTTAAAAATACATACTATAAAGTAAACCATTCATAAATTCCAACGTGATGCCAGTATGTTAAAATCTTGATTACGTCATTTAATTCTCATGCATAATCCTTTTTCATTGCTTTAACACAACAAGCCAAACAAAAAAAAAAGAAAAAAAGAAGATTGAGAGAAAATATGTTCAAAATCACAAACATACACACGAATTCACATGCATTTACATAACCACTGCTTCACAGATCTGGCCTCATTAAAAACATTGAAATTTCCAATAAACTGAAATTGTCTCTAAAACATGTGAAGGTTCATGAGACTCATGAAGATTCTAAATGTGTACTTCAAGTATCCATAAATGCAGAGCCAGAAAAACAATAATTTCAAATCTGAATTCTCCATCCAGCAAACCATAATCTCTAGAATAATGAACAATCAGTTCAAGTAACAGATTGCGGACTATTGATTCTAAAAGAAAATAACACAAATACTGGGCAACTTCACAAAAATTGGAAAGCATATTTATGGTCATCATCTTTAGTTGATATATGCAAATTTGAGAGAAATTCTCTCCTTCCTCTTCAAACATTTAAAACAAAAGAGATCCAGTCAGTAGAATCCATTACAGAAAAATAAAATTTAAAGCTAAAGTCAAGTCCAGGGGAGGAAGCATTTTACAGACTTTAGTGATGGCTCAATCGCACATCAGTGACAGGTTTGCATATGTCTGAATACTTTGAGAAGTGCTTTCTATGGTGTCCCAAGCCCTGTGTTGCTCAATTTATACCAGACTACACACTAAAAGAATTTCACTGAAGCAGAATTACAGTAAAATAAAAAACTTACGTATATTCTCTCTTGTTTCTATCACCCTAAAAGTCAGACTGTGGGAAATGTGCTAAATCAATTTTTTAAGCACAGGTTGGAACAAGCCATTGTTAGTGAGTGTGCTCCTAGTACGGCTTTGAGCATAGTAAGAAAAACTGTTTGATAACACTGCCCCACTCTGGTCAAAAGAGAGATTAGGTAGCCCTTAAAATGAAAGTTTTTGTAGCATGACATCCAAATTCATGTAAAATACACTTCATTAAAAGACGAAGTTTTCCTAAAGAGCAAAGCATCGGAATGGTATACAATTTAGATTAAAAGCTGAAGGAAATATATCTTTTAGTCCTTTGAAACAGGAGGAACAAGCTATTATTATACTACTATTATTTGTCCATAGAAACATCTATTGTTAGTCCCACAAGAAAAGAAAAAAAATATTATGCTGATTATGTAATGCCACTTGCTATATAAAAATGTGAATAGCGAAAGGCTGGTTTATTAAACTATTCATATTTATTCAGGCAGGGAATATTGCATATGCTGTTAATGGCAAATACTTCACTGTAATTTTTACAATTATTTTGTTTAAAATAAAAACAGGATATTGTTAAAGTTACTGAAATTTAAATGCCAAAAAGTCAGTGATATCAAAAAGTAATTCCAGCCTAGTGGACAGAGTGTCAGCCTGTGGACCAAATGGTCCTGGGTTCGATTCCGGTCGAGGGCACATGCCTTGGTTGCAGGTTCCTCCTGGGCCAGGGCCTTGAGGGAGGCAACCAATCCATGTGTTTTTTCCACATCGATGTTTCTCTCTGTCTTTCCCTCTCTCTTCCACTCTCCCTAAAAATCAATGGAAAGATATCTTCAGGTGAGGATAAACAACAACAACAACAAAAACAACAAAAAAAGGGAAAGTGATTCCAAAAAATCTAGGAATTTACAAATTCTTAGCTATAGTAACCGTTTACTTCAAAAGTCATTTCCTCAACATAGTGATTGACATTAATAATAGTATAGTAGTAGTAGTAGTAGTAATAATAATAATAATAATAGAAGTTAACATCTCTTAACCATTTATTGTGCCAGCCACTGGCCTTTACATGTAATAATCATTCATACTTAGAACTATAAATCAGGCATTATTATTATCCCCTTTTTATAGATAAGCAAACAGAGAAACAGAGAGGATCAGTAACCTGTTAAAAGTTACACAGCTAAGTAAATGGTAATTCTAGGATTCAAGCCCAGGCAGTCTGACAGCATCCTATCTCTTCCATTATACTATACAGAGAGGAAATAACTATTTGCCTTCCTGTATTCAATGAATCCATTATGCTCTGAAAAAAAAAAAGGTGAAACCAAGTCATAGTTCTGCTTATTGTCAAGATCAAACCAATAACTTCTATGTTAATTAAGTGTGCATCACTCTACTATAAAGATCAATTGATAAAGATCAATATAAAAAATGCTATATAAAAACACACATTATCTTTACACATGAATGGTTTTTTCTATGAGAGGTTTGAGATGACTCACAAGTGTCTCATTTTTCTGGGACACAATTAGTTGAAATTATGTCTATTTGTGTTTTTAGCATTAATAGTTCCCACATTTTAAATTTACCTGAATCTCTGTCCATAGCTTCAACTCGTGTGACAAACTCCCCTGGATTTTTGTTTTCTTTAACTGAAGCTTCATATAGGTGCTGCTTAAATACTGGTGCCTCATCATTTACGTCAAGAACAGAAATTGTCAAGGTCTGGGATGAAGAAAGTGTTGGGACACCATCATCCACGGCCAAAAGGGTCAGAACATGCTGGGTTTTCGTTTCATAATCCAAAGAACACGTTGTAGTTAGTAAGCCTGTTTTGAAAGTGGAGAAAAACAATGTGTAATAAATATTATTTAGAAAAGTTCAGCTTACTCTAACTTACCTAACTTGCTAAAACTTCATAACATTTGTTAAATAATAAATCTTATTAGACTGACTTTAAATTTATATATTATCTAAAATAAAATGAGAGCATTTTTCATCAGAAAAGTCACCCTAATTTAAACTATAAGGATGAATGAAAATTCAGAAATAATCTATCATATACCATTCTTTCCTGTGAAGATGATATCAAAATGATTTTTCTACCCAACATCGACCTTCATTTTTTAAAATATATTTTTACTGATTTTAGAGAAGGGAGAGGGAGAGGGAGTTAGAAACATCAATGATGAGAACCATTGATTGACTGTCTCTTGTACACACCCTACTGGGGATCGAGTCGACAACCTGAGCTTGTGCCATTGACCAGAATGGAACCCGAGACCCTTCAGTCCCAAACCAACACTGTATCTACTGAGCCAAACCAGCTAGGGATGACCTTTTTAAGACATCTAGGTTTTAACAGTATACATCTTCAGGTCAAATGACAATTCATGTTTAAAGTCACCAAGTAACAAAACAAAACAAAAAATGAACATGGTTGCATTGTTTAAGATATTTAGTCTTTAAGGTATTTAGTTTTATTAAAGAATTATAATCTCCTTATACTTTCTCTATTAACTGTCTTTTTTACTAACGAAATATAGTACCTACTTTATAATTCAGACAACAAATTTCATGAATAAAATGTATCTCCATCCAATTGCCATTGGAGCATATAACTCATGGAAGCAACGTGTTATAAAACCTTGCACACATACAGCTCCCATGAGTCCAACTGTCACATTTTTTCTTTTAGGACTGCTGCTTGCTTCTCTAAAAACATACTCATACTCATCCTATTAAGAACTTTTCTTCCAATAATTAAAGAGGTTTACTGCTTCAGATTTTATAAAACATTTTTCCAGTTATTACAGCCAAAAGCCATTGAAAAAAATCACTATAAGAAATATGAGCCTCGTGAGAGAAACAATAGCCCATTTCACATGAAAGCATTCAGCAATTACCATTTTATGTCGTTGAAAAATGTGTCAACTGAAACAGCCACTGCAATTGTTCAAGATTCATGAGGCCTATATATGAGACACAGTTCTAATTTTATCCATCCTCTTTAAAAATCTGAAATAGACCTTCCTTAGCCATTGTGGAAAACATTTTAAGCATCACTGAAACAGGCCCTTGGAGACTCCCGCTCTAACAGTAATCAGCAACCAGGTCTGGACTATCTCTCTGTCAGTTGCGCCTTTAGGTGATGCTCACGCATGCCTCAGAATGAAACCATATGTGCAGTATTCAATAAATATTTTGATAAAAAAATTTTCAGCAGTATATAGCCAGACTATAATCATGACTTCCAATTCCTACACATTCAATCCCATTTCAAATTATGGTCTTAGTAATGGTGGGGTCAATTGGCATACATCTGAGATTTTTTTTTTCCTAAGGCTCATAAAGAAATGACTATTTTTTTTTAGAGGTTGAGATGGTAATCTACCTCCTCAATAGCTCCTGAAAATCAGATCATGGGAGGTTCATTTCCAATTTTATAAGAATGACACATTATACATCACACTACATCAGAAATTTTAGTAGATGTTAATTGGCAATGTCATAATAACAAGACAAGTAAAGTTAGTGACATTTCTACAGAGAACTTGACAGTGAATAAATGCTTCTGGGGAAAAAAAATGGCACACCTGACATGAGAAGTAAGGGTCTTATACCCAAATCAATACAACCATTTAAAAGTACATTATTTCTGTCCTGATCAGATATTAATTTGGTTAGAGCATCATCCTAATATGCCAAGGTTGCAGGTTCGATCCCCAGTCAAGGCACATACAAAATCAACCAATGAATGCATAAATAAGTGAAACAACAAGTCAGTATTGCTCTCTTTAAAATAAATAAATATATATATATAGCTAATATATATATATATATATATATATATATATATATATATATATATATATATAGCTAATATGCAAAATGTCCCCTCAGGAGTTCAACCTGGAGAACAGGAGTTCAATTTCTCACTATGACGTGTGTTGACCACCAGGGGGCAGTGAGGAACATGGTGGGCAACCAGCAGGAGTACTGAAAGAGTGAGGGAAGAAGGAGGAAGAGCGAGGGGAGGAGGGAAACCTGATTGGCCCTGATCACGGGCCAGGCCTAGGGCCCTTCTCATGCACAAATTTCATGCACCAGGCCTCTACTAAATAAATAAATAAATAAATAAATAAATAAATAAATAAATAAATTCCAAGTATTTACAAAAGCATGTTTGTATGATCTTAAAGATAAATTTCCATACTAAAGCCTTTGAATAATGCTGTTGGTTAGTCATATTCTACCTTTTTGTACTTTTGGTACCATCTCCACCTCCTGTGACTACCCACAAGGAGGGAAAAGAAGTTTGCTGCTACTGTAGATTCATCTCATGAAATGTGAGCTAGTTTCAAATCATAGTCAATATCAATGAACTGGCCAATTATAGTTGGTTCTCTGAATATAACCTCTGAACCTATCCCATAGAGAAGTTAAGCACAAAATTAACATTTCTTTAAAGCCTATTCATTTGGAACAATTATCTTAACAGAGGAAACTGAAAAGGATCAGTGTACGCAAGTGATTCATGGTTTTAATTGACAGTGACAAATACCTGATGACTCATCTAGCCTAAAGGCCATGTTTTCATTTCCTGAAAGAAGGCTGTATGTTACTCTTCCATTCCTTCCTTCATCTGGGTCGTGAGCAGTTACGTGGTGCACCCAGGAGCCCACTGCGGCATCCTCTTTGACATGAGCGATGGAGAAAGACAGAAAAGTGGGGCTGTGGTCATTTACATCCAAAATCACTACGTTGGCCATCAGTGACCTCAGTCGCCGGTCTGTCACATTCACAGCCTGATCGGATGCAGTCACTGTCAGGACCACAGCAGGAACTCTCTCTCTGTCAAGGGGGGATGCAGTGACCAATGTGCCAGATGAGGGGTGGATGAGAAATGGATTGATTCCAGGGTGGTGGGATTCAATGAAGTATTGTATTCTACTGTTCAAAAAGCTGCCATCTCCATCTTTGGCATTGAAGACGTGTACCAGAGTTCCTACAGGGACATTCTCTTCTACGCTTATCACAATGAACTCTTCTTGGAAAGATGGGGAATGGTCATTCTGGTCTTCCACATCAATGCTAAGGAAGACTGTGCTATGCAAGGGAGGAGTTTTACTGTGATCTTTAGTAACCACCCTGAAAAGATAATGTGATGTCATTTCATAATCAAGTCCCTTAGAAAGGAACAAGTCCCCTGTGGAGCTGTCGATTTCAAAGGGGCCATCCTTATCATCTGCAGCGATACTAAAATGTAGCTTTCCATTATGGTGTTGTTGAAAGTGATCAGGTGACTTTATCAAGCTCATTATTTTTGCAGGCTTCAAGTTTTCTGGTATAACTAAATGTCTAATATTCTGAGAAATGGCAGCTCTCCCTTTGGATAGTGGTATCACCTGAAATAAGAATTAAAAGGAGCTATTAATTTGGAATACTTTTCTTAAACAGTTGAATCAGTATATGTGATGATGTTAATTTGGAAACTAATCCCTTCTATCTGTGTGAAAAACATATGGTAATTGGTGGCATTATTTTTTATTATATCACTAGAGGCCCGATACAAGAAATTCATGCAAGAGAAAGCCTTCCTTCCCCCAGCTGCCAGCACTGGCTTTCCTCTGGCATACAGGACCGGGGCTTTGCTCTGGCTGCCAGTAGGCAGCCAGGACTCGGGCTTTCCTCTGATCCCAGCTTTGTCCAGAAGGACGTCCGGAATGATATCTGGTCTAATTATTATAGATTCCAGTATGCCTCTGATGATTGAAAATTGCATATCTAGGAGATGAGAAAGTACATTTCCACTTCCCATTTGTTCTAATGTGTGAAATGTTATATTGGTGAGGCCATGCTATATTTTGATAAGCTGATCTATAGTCTTATGATTCTTCAATGAGAATGTGAAATGTGTAGTTCTCCAAATTACTCTAAATCCTAGAGACCAATATATACATAATGATAACATCTGTGTACATTTATGTATCATGTGTCTTTGTTTATCTAAAACCAAAGACTTAAGGAATTCCGACATAGAATTTTCTCTTAACATATATATCTTTAATCAATAAAAAATTCTTTGGGGTATATTTTCTTATTTTTTATACATACCAATATCAATATTATTGATTATCATGTGCATGAGCAAAGAAAAATGGCCATGCACAGTTATCTTATATTTGACTCACTGGTGTAATTTTTTCATTCTAAGAAGACTTTCCACATCTTGTTTTCACATTCTGATTAAAATAAAGCCTTAGAATATAAATCCCAAGTGACTTTTATAAATTTAAAAATAATTACAAAAAGCAATGTGATTTATTATTTAGCCATTTGCTTACATGTAAGTTACTTCTGCAAATTTACCAAATCTTTGCAATTAAAAAAAAAGTAAAGGAAAGACATTTTTTGTTTATTAAAATAAAGCAACATTAATGCCTATAGAGGATGAAAGTACATATCTTGTCAGGAATTGTGCAAAGTTCAAATAAAAAGTTATTGGAGCTAATGATTTCTCTAGTGATAATAAAAAGGCACACATACATGTGCAATGCTCTCTAAAAGCGGTATCCATATATTGAATGTATTTTCACTCTATAAAGGTGTACAAAAAATCAAACAGAGCCTTAAAACACCCTTCTACATGTTATGGCGATGAAAGAACATTACCTGAATGTTAATAACGGCCCGTCCTTGAAGAGGCGGCACTCCCTGGTCACTGGCGATTACAGTCATTCTGTAGGAAGGTCTATAATCATACAAAAGCACCGTAGTTGTCCTTATCTCACCACTGTTGGCATCAATCTTGAAGGGATCAGATCTATCTTCTATGCATACACAAAAAAATTAAGAAATTAATGTTAACTAACAATGAATTAACTAATCCAAATACATCTGTGATTGATCATTTGGAAGATGTACTTGCCTTAAACTCTGTGAGAGAATAAACATAAAAAAGTAGCACTAAAAATATACACAAGAAAACAGAACATTTTCTAGGGGTGATTTACTTTAACTTTATGAATAGTCTTCATAGAGATTCACGGATCTTATTATTCTAATCGTATTTCTTTATATTAATACCACTTGTTATCCACTAATTGCTACTTTTCTTTCGATAAATGTTCATTTGCACATCACATTATTGAAAATTATTCATGTAAGGTGGATGATTGATGGGTTGGTTTCTATTTAGGGGACATAAAACTACTATAACTTTTCACTAAACTTTTCAATTCTTTTTTAAATATAAAGGTGATTCTAGACCATAACAAATGTATTTTGTTTGTAATTTAGTGTTATTTTCAATGTTAATTATGTCCACAGAGGAGGTAGATAGTTGATAAACAAAAGAGAAAATTCTAAATGCTCATAATTCTTTATGGGTAGTTACGTTTACCTGAAGATACTGAATATATAACTTCTGCATTGTTTCCTTCATCAGAATCCTTTGCAAACACAGTTGTCACCAACATATTTACTGGTTGACCTTCCAAAACCTGTCAATAAAACAAACGGCTTACAAATTTCTCAGTAAATTTTTTTAAATAAAAAAGCATTGAATTTTAAGTGAAAGCACACACTACTACTAAGCATTTAAAAAACTATTTTAAAATCCACATGTAATTCTAATGTCTACCATATAAAAATTATATGGGTGTAAACCCATGAAAAGAATCCACATTACAATTTAAATATTTTACTCGATTTAAACAAATTATCTACAGCATTTCAACTAATTCTGAGGAGGGTGGAGAATGAAATCAAAATAATTAAACAGTCTTAAATTTTAAATGTCTTTTAAGGATTCTAGCATCTTTTCATTCATCACCTTCTCAAGATGTTTTTTAAAAAGTTGTTGTTAATGTTTAAAATATGCTAAAGATAAACATAAGTTTTTATTTCAGGAAACATACCTCATATAGGAGAGATAATTAACAGAACTCCATATATAAAAGTCCTACTGTGCAAGTAAGCAATATGATATTTTAATGACATGATTAAAATCATAATGACAAAACATTTAGCTTTGGTGAAATTTTCTTTAAATAAGGATTTGGAAGGTGAGTTTAATGTTATTAGCTTCCTAACTACCCTATGCATATCAGAGCACAATTTGAATGTTCAATTTAATTACTTGGGAGATGAGACTTCTAAACTTTTTATTCATACAACCCACTCATGATTTTTAAAAATCTGATTACCTCCAAGATATATTTATTAACTAATTGTGTGTGTAAACTAATATGCTAATTTATTATGTACATTATAAAACATATAAAAACATAGGAATAAAAAAAATGAGATAATATAACTATAATTAGAAGTTCTTGTATGTGCCCCCAATAGATCAGCTTTTATAATCTCTTGATATGTGCTTCTCCACTTTAGAGCTACAGATTCTTCCCTTATCTCTAAGCAGAGATGTGTATCAGTCACTCATAAGGAGTTCTGCACAAAGAGATACATGCAAATTACTCAAAAAACAATCCTCCTTTGAGCGTTGCTGATAATGAGGAACCATTATGTTTGTATACAAAAGGCAGAACTACATTAATCATAAAACAACTGGATATGAGATCTCAAATTGCACTTATAAGCATTTTAGTTTTTGCTGAGTTTTTTTGGACATATGCACAATTTCTAGGTCTTCTAGAAATGAATGCATTGCCACACCATTACTGATTTGATAAATTCATGCTTTTTACCACAAGATGGTGCTCAAATAACTAAGAATACTACAAGTCCATTGCAAGGCTATTTCAACCCCACAGACCTTAATGTGTAATTCCTTTCCAGGGAGACACTGCGGGAAGTATGGCCTGTTATCATTGATGTCAGTAACGGCAACATAAACCACCATGCTGGCGTTCCGCGGTGGGGAGCCATGGTCGGTCACCAGGACAGTCACCTGATGGTGCACCTGATGCTCATGATCCAGCGCCACCCAACTGATCAGTTCACCTGAGGGCACAGAAGACAAAAGAGGGTGACACTGTGCACTAGGATTCTGGCATTGTGAACCACTTCCAACATAATCTGTGGAAAGGAAAAACAAACATTGTAAAGCTCTGAGTAAAAGCACAACTTTCAAGACCGTGTATGTGACTAGTTAGATTCTACAATTGGAAGAATTTTCTGAAGTTTCTCCTAAAAATGCCATTTTAAGTTTGCCTTTTTTTTTTTTTTTTGTATTTCTATGAATTCAATTTGAACTACAAATTGAATTCATAGAAACCAATGATAAAATAGTCTGTGGCGCCTTAGTAAATAGCTCAGAAGACTAAACTGTAGCACGTTCCTCTCTACCTTGCTATGCAAAATAAAGGAAAGAAGCACTTCAGCTCAGCTTGGGCACCATGAGCTCTGGTTTGAGTTTCAGTTTCTCCATCTCAGATGCAGAAGGACGGCTCTGAGCCTACTTCCTGAGGGCTATCAGAAACAAATACAATCATAAATTTAAAATTATTTTGTAGGCTGTAAATCATTATACGCATGGCAGTTGTTATCATTACTTGAAAATAATGGGAAATATCTCCATGAAAATCAAATAGATCCCTCAGGCTATGGTTTTTCTTTTACATAAGCAATTAGTTATTTATCGTTATCTCACAAAACATGTGTAGCGATGGATAGTGACTTTCCAAATAGCTCTTGTTTACAAGCCTTATTTTACATATTCTTGTTTAGAACTTACTCACTCCTAGTCAATGTCCCTCACATTTCAGCCTTGGAAGCTCAGGCATAAAGTTGAAACTGCCTCTACTTTCTTGTCTAGGGTCATTGGAGGCCAAGTGCTCTCTCTGGTAATCTGTCCTCTGCTCCAGAGTTCTGCCGGGCAGTGACTAACTCACTATTTATGAAAATATCTATTTGTGAGAAAGTAAACATGCAGCAACTACCGCCTAACCTTGCTATTTCTAAGATTTTTTAATTTGTCCTCTTTGTTCAAGTAAAATGATGTGTACAACAAAACAGGAAGCTGAAATGAGAAACAAAAAAATGAAATTCACATTTGGGTATGTTGCTGAGTTGGTTGGCTTAATTGCAGCACTTACTATATAAATTATATAAGGTGTCCCAAAAAATGTATAAGCACTTTAACAGCTGATAGTTGAATTTTGAAAATGAAATATATTTTAATAAACACTGCCTTTATGATTATTCAAAATGTGTGTGTACATTTTTTGGGACACCTATATTAATATAGTATTTACAATAAGTATGATTTTAACAAAAATTACACACACATAAAACTACTGTTTTTAAAATCCTCACCTGAGAATTTGTTTATTGATTCTGAGAAAGAGAGAGAGAGAGAGAGAGAGATAAATCGGTTGCCTCTGGTATGTACCCCAACTTGGAATTGAACCTCCAACCTAGGTATGTGCCCTGCAGAGGAGAACCAGCTTGAAAGTGAACGGGAGCTGGTATCTAGCTTGCAGGCTACTTGACGAGCACTGTGCTCTGGTGAGCACTCCACCTGCTAGAGGAAAAGGAGCCTTTTTATAATTCACACAACAGGGATCTTTGGGATAAAGTTAATCAGAACTGAATTCAAATTCCACCCACTACAGGCACGGGGACTCATTTACACGGGCTACATTATACATGGTGCCTCCAGGAATTGTACCAAGTGGTGACCCTCTCTCATCTCCTTCCAGCCCTGTGACCTTGCGCAGGTTACTTGAGCTATCCGAAGTCTCAGTTCCCCAGCTATAGAGGTGTAGCATAAACATATTTCATGTGCAGATGGTTTCAGAGATTAAATAAAGTCCCCATAAATTTATATGATATAAATTTTATTTCTAATGATTCATATTTTAAAATTTTAAATTGTATAAGTTGTAAAAATTTACCTTCATAATTAAAACTTTAAATATCTTTCTTTCCCTATGGTTCCCTTATCAAAATTAAAATGAGAAAATATAACAATAGAGTGGTATTAAAATCTTGAATTGATTTCTAGTTTTCATCAATGACATTCATATTTTATAAAATATTATTTAATGTTTTAAGAATCTACAAATGAAAAAAAAAAGGTTGGTGAAGAAATTGGACCTTATAAAAGGCTTTATTCAACCCAGTTCTGACTGTATCTCTAATTTAGAGTAAGAGCCATACTGTATATTAGCAATATGTGGGTGAGAGTCAAGAGAAGTATGAATCATTAGAAATAAAATTCCACCCGTTTTTACTTAATTTTAAAATCACAGTACTGTAATCAATAAGGTATGCACTAAAGACCATAATTTTAATTATATGCTTACACTAATGTGATAACTAAAAGATCAGGGTTTTGTCAATTCCAATTTTAAAGGAATCAGGGGAAGCTACAAAATGCTACCTGTATGAGGATTCATCTTGAAGAATTTTCCATCAGACAGAAGGAAATATGACAGCTGTCCGTTCTTTCCCGAGTCTCTGTCAATTGCTGTAATTCTGCCTATTACCCCTTGGGGTAGGGGGCTCTCCTCCGCTTTCAAAAACAACATATCATGCAAGAAGGTAGGGGAATTGTCATTCTCATCCAGGACATGAACAATTACTGAAGTGCTCACATTTTGTGACAATCCGTCCTCTGGGATCCAGGCAAACACTCTAAAATGATATGTTTGGGTGGATTCATAGTCAAGCTGTCGCCGCAAATAAATCCAACCAGTGTAAGGGTGAACAGCGAACACAGCCAAGTCTGCGCGGGGTTCCAGCGAGTAGAGAAGCGGGGAGGTTTTGTGCTGTGGGCCACGCGCGTAGGCCTGTACCTGCAGTATTTGGGTCATCGGTGAGAGAGACTCACTAACTTCGACTTGATAGACCAAATTTCCAAAAATCAAGGATGGGTTCAATTCTTGTTTTTCGATAACTATTGTAAGCAGGAACGAGGATGCTCGAGAAGGAACGCCGAGATCCTGGGCCATGAGAGTGAGTGTGTGCTTCTGGGCCAAAGCATCTGCCAGGCTGTCGTTGAGGTACACCACGCCCAGCCCCGAGTCAATGGAAAAGATGCCTGGATTCTGACTCACAATGGAGTATCGGATGAACCCATTCCAACCACTGTCCTTGTCTTCTGCACGCACACGGTACAGGGCTGTGCCGGGCAGTGTGATCTGCGGCACTTTGACCTCGTCGGAGGCTTTGGCGAACACTGGGTGGTTGTCGTTGACATCGATCACAGTTATGTTGACCTCCGTGCTGCCGCAGGCGGGGGAGCTGCCGAGCTGCGCCTGGACCGTGAGCACCACTGTGGGCTGCGTTTCGTGGTCCAGAGGCTTCCGGGTTCGAATGGTGCCCAGCCACGGGTGGATAGTGAACATTCCCTGCAGATCACCAGAGGAGATCCTGTAAAAAATTGGCTCTGAGGAATCTGAATAAAAAAAGGGAAAAGAAAAAAAGAAAGAATAAAAAATAAAGCAATCCCTGTATGTCAAAAGAATGTACCTGTGGAAACACTGAAATCTGAACTTATTAATGTATACTGCATCTACAGAGAATACTATCCAACGTCTTCCGTCTTCCCCAGCTCTCCAAAGTCTGGTGAAAAGTTAACATATGGTTTAAGATGCTGTAGTGGATAACGGTACACAAAGCAAGGCACAGGCTTGCTCTCGGTCATCATTCCTCTTGCATTAGTTACAAAAGGAGAAGACATTCAGAAAATTATTTGGATGCCTTTTAAATATATTTGAGGGAGCCAAGTTAAGTTTATGTTGATGTTATTCTATAATATCTACCCATGAATGGCAAATATCCTCCACAAAAGATGAGGGAAGGGAAAGGAGGGAGCTAGGAGAAGGACCTTTGAACAAATTATTCTCTTCTAGGAATTTCTCCTGCAGAAACTTCTATAAGTCTCACAAGGACATTACTTGAGTACTATGCAGCCAAGCAAAATACTGTAAGTCATTCAAATTGATAGTGACAGAGAAATGTTTCATAAAATCATTCAAACTTTATATCATGAGACAAAATGATATACAGTTACCTGTAAAGTTGTGCAGTAAAGAGCAGAAAAAATATACAGTAGAAAAAATACCATAGAAATTATATAGTAGAAAAAAAGATAGTTGTAAGACAACAAAGATATTAGGATACATTTTTGTAGAAAAAACTTTTTGGGAGCGTGTGCATGTATTTTGGGGAGTGGGATATAGGAGATGTATATTGTTTACATTGAGGTTTTTTTTAATTTAAAACTTTATTTTGAAAGTACCTATTACTTTTCTGAATAGAAAAAAATTATAAGAAATAATGTTGAAGAACAATGAGTAAGACACAAATGGTGTGGTCTCCACTCTTCTTGCATGGAGAGAAGAAAATATTTAATACAAGACTGTACAGTGTAAGAAAACACAGGAAATGCTCCAACAATCAATTTCAATGCAGGATAAGACGTACTTACTCAAGGACTCTTTTGCTTTCACTATTCCGACAGGACTGTCTTCGGGTACATCTTCATAAACTGAGAAAGTGTACTTAGGCCTTTCAAATTCAGCCGGTGCCAGAGTTGTCTGAAGAATGTGTATAGTGACTTCGGCATTAACTACCGAGGTGAGCCCGCCACCATCTTGAGCACAGACCATCAACAGAATTGTAGTAGATTCCAAAGGAACAAGAGTTGATGTTAAGTAAATAATTCCTGGGGAAGGGAAAGAAAGAATTAAGACACAGATAACGTGCAATAACTTCTGATGAGCAATCAGACATCTGATCTTTTGATTCTTCTGTGATGTTTAATTTTATACCAACTTGATTGGGCCATGGAGTGCCCAGGTATTTGGTCAAACATTATTCCGTGTGTCTGTGTAAGAGTGTTTCAAGGTAGATATAGACATAAATGTAGACATAGATACAGATACAGAGCTCCTATTGGTTTCATTTCTCTGGAGGACCCTAATATATCCACTTTCCAAACAAAGACTTAAGTATATTTGCAAAACGATGCTCCAAAATCTGACAGGGAAATAACATTTTCCTAGAGCTTAAACATTGGGCATCTTGAAACTAAATTAATTCAACAGAAAAACATAAATGGTGCTGCATTTGTTAGGCCTGACTACCATTTTATCTGCCCAGGTTTTTATGCAGATATTCTAATTTCTACATGTGGGAAGGATCCAGGAATTGCATGTTTTACAATTTTAAGGTTTAAAAACCACTTCTGCATATGCTCTCCTTCAAAATATGTATATGTTCTTCAATAGTTTCTTTATCCTAGTATCTCCCATGTCTTTCCACCTGAATTATAGTTCTATACCTCTTCCTAGGTGACAGTTCTTCTGGGGTATTTTTCAATTTGACATCAGTTGGACAATCAATCATCTTAGTTAAAATTAAGAAACTGTGTGTGACTCATCATTTTTCATTATAAACCAGTCACCATTCTTATATCATTTTCCTCTTTAAATATCCTCAATTAGTTTCTTCCTCTCTCTTTTTATTACTATCTCCTTAGTATAAACTTCATAACTTTATCCCTAGATTATATTAATATATTAATATATAGTCTCTGTTAATTAATTTATATTTCCTGTTCAACTTTTCTAGTCCTATAATTCACATAGTACAGTGCTGCCAGGGTAATTTTCCTTAAAGGTCATGTTCATCATAATGTGCTAGTGCTCAAAACCCTATGTCATTCCTCATTTCCTGTAATAATTAAGTTTAAACTTCTTTGTCATGCTTTTAAGTTCCTTCATAAGCCACCCCACTTAATGTAGTTTCATCATTATGTAGCCCATTTCTCTACTTTAGACATGATCATCTCTGGCTGTCATATATGGGTAAATGTATGATATAAAGCAAAGCTCATGGAATGCAATCATACAAAGACTATTTTTTTTCTTTTACTTAAATTTATTTTTGGGCAAATGGTTGTTCCCCTACTCCTAAGTCAAAATTCAGGAAGCTCCTACAATTTCCACAATCACTATCAAACAATTAAAATTCTTTTTGTTACTTTAAGTCACAAAACAGTCTTAATTTAGTAATTTGGATATAAAGGTACTGGTTTTCTAGTACCTCCTTTGGCAATCCTTCATAAAGTGAGACCTGAAGGATGAGTTAGGTCATTATGTAGGTGAAGATGTGAAGATGGGAAGAGGAGAGGAAACAATCAATTGATCTCAGCAGGAGAAAAATGATGTGATGTACTTGCAGAAGGAAGATAGCATAAGAAAGGAGGAGGAGGAAGGAGAAAGAGGAAAAGAAGAAGTTGATATAAGAAGGGGGCACATAGATTAAAGAAAAGAGTTATTGGAGATAAGGACATATAGGAAAGCAGGCAGATCCTGAAGGGCCTGGTTTGAGCATACAAGGATTTGATATTCAGCCAAAGGTCCATAGGAAGTCATTAAAGATTTAGGCAGTGGAAATGGCCAAATCTGTCTTTTTATACATAAACACGGTTCATTTAATGTCTATGTATATACATTTTACTAGGCTTCTTCTGAGCCAATGGTTACTTCAGTTGGCCTTTAAAGTCAATGTTGTAAAGTAAAACAATCCCTGCTAGAGACCAGAAAGGAACCAGGGAGTTTCTTTGAATACTCACCACTTAAAAGAGGGAAGTATTAAGATTAAGCTTGTCCTTACATATGCTGAGTATTCCAAAACATTCCTTTTTCTTACATTTGCATAGAAAGAGTATCTAGAAAACTTATTTACTTGAATCCAACATTCTTAAATAAACGGAGCTGTCTATTAAAGTTGAGGAGCTAGAAAATGTAGCTCTCTAATATATATTACATATAAACATACATAATATATATAATAATGAAGTAGTAAATAAAAGAAATAGTTCTCTGTCTATATATTTTGTCAGCTTTAAGTGTATGATACTATCCTATATAATTAAGAGGTGGTATGCAAATTAACCCTCACATCCTCACAAGATGGCTGTCTATGACCAATCTGGCAGGGGCATAGTGAGGAACAACCAAATGACTGAACAAGCAGGCTCTGTGGGGTTACCAGGCCGGCAAGGGGGGGGGAGGAGGGGGCAATAAGAGGTAACCAGTCCAGGGGCAGGGGCAGTTGGGGGCGACCAGGCTGGCAGAGGGGACAGTAAGGGGTGACCAGTCCTGTGGGGGTGGGGGAGTCAGGAGCAACCAGGCCGGCAGGGAGGGGGCAGTTGGGGGCTACTTGACTGGCAGTGGGGGGCAGTTAAAGGTGATCAAGCCAGTATGCGGAGTCAGTAAGAGGTGATCAGGCCAGCAGTGGGGGGTGAGAGAAGCAGTTAAGGGCAACCAGGCAGGCAAGCAGATGAGTGATTAGGAGCCAGCAGTCCAGGATTATGAGAGGGATGTCTGACTGCCAGTTTAGGCCCGATCCCAGCCCCAAGGGATCCCAGATTGGAGAGGGAACAGACTGGGCTGAGGGGACCCCCACCAGGTCTCTAGTATTTTAATGTACAGTGATTAATTGGCTCTCAGTTTTTTTCTTTTATCACTCACTCAGGGGACCAACTTTAACTTTAAAACAGATACAGATTCATATAAAGATCACTAATTATTTTATGTTTTAATTACTGGGTGTGTGGGTTTATGCACATTAATTTTAATGTGCAATAATATTTGGCTATTATCTTTAGTTTGTCACTTTTTATTTAAAAGAGGATACTGCTGGAATAAAATTTATTTTAATTGATTGACTAATAAAAGTACTTAAATACAAAGGTCCTCTTAATTAAGTTTAATATACAGTGTATATATAAAGTCATGTTCTACTAACTAAGCAACACTCACTTTCATAATCAAACCTCCCGCAAAAGATGGAATATTCTTAACCAACATGCTAATTCTTACTTAGAAAAAAATCTGTAGGTTGCTACTAAAATTGTAAGCTATGGAATAGTTAAAAACAAAAACAAGCACAAAGTCATAACCTTCAAGAAACATGGAGTCCGTAAGTGTGGTTTTCTCAAAAAATAGGACAAAAACTATGGGGTATCAACACTACTTTCTTATTGGTTATTGATATTTATGATATTTTTCCTATATTCAGTTTGTGAAAATATAAAAACTTATTTACCAAATAGATGAAATTAAGCTATTTATTTTGCACATGAATCAAGGTAACTAAGTTGTAGCAGCTGACAGGAAAAGAACGGATTCAAATTTCTATCAAAGAAAATAATTATCCAAATTTATAACGAACTTATAAAAGGTTCAAGTTCAGATCTGCCATATTACCAACCACGCGCTTTAAGCAAGACACTAAATCCCTTTCTGCCTCAATTTCTTCCTCCACTAAATTGTAAGGTCCCTTTCATCTCCAAGAGTCAGTGATCTTATATTGAAAAAATGAATGAGAAAACTCTCCAACATGCTTTTGTTTCCTATACAAGTGACATTTGCTGGTTAGGTGCCTGTGATTAATTTTAGACTCTGTCTTGCAAATAAAAGAAAGAATGTTTTGGCGTGAGCAGGCTCAGATCCCTTATGAAATGAGATGTGGTTTTAATTTATTAACTACATATCAGAATGTTCTATATGTAGAAAAGTGGCAATCATGAAGAATTATGAGAATCATTACATGGTATCAAATCGGAGCATAAAACTAACATTAGAAAAGAATCTGCCCTTGGAATAAAGAAAAATAGAATCTGTGCTACATTACTTAAAGTCCATGGTAAAACCCATACAGCCGAGCAGCACGGAAGCTAAACATGGAGGCACAGCTGCCCTTGGCTGGCAGCTTAATTCACTCAGTTACCCTTTTAATTGTCTGGTTTGTAGTGCTAAACTTGGATTTTGTATATGTCATAGCTAAACATAGATCAGATGATGGACAAGGCAGCATAATTCATTGTTGCTCAACTACTTTTTGCAAACACAAATGCTTGCAATCTCTATCACCTTAAAATAATCTGAATTAGAAGTTATGTTTGTTTCAGCGGAAAATGACTAAATAAATACCACAGAAAGGCTGAAGAACTGCTTTTTTCCCCATGCTACTAAAGGGATACTTCAAACAATGTAGGAAAAAAATCTACATTTAGTTCATTAAATAGGATTACAAATACATAAAAAAGAGCTATTAATAAATGTGTGTCCGTATTTCCTACTTTTAAAGCTCAGAACACTGTGGTCTACCTCGTGGCCACATCAAAGAAGCCCAAACTAACTGAGAATAAGAGAAATGAAGGCTCAATTCAATATCTCTCTCCTGGTGCCTAAACACATTTTACCAAAATATTCTTTGAATTAACAACACACCTAGAAAATCAGAAACAGACCAGGATGATAAACCCACAAGGGAAAACAACCATGACATTGCCACACCCACTCCCCTTCAGTTTTCTTCAAGACATTGCTCTTACCAGATGAACACAATAATCACAGAACTCTATTTTTAATGCTCAAGTCGGTTGTGGCACAAATAGGTCAATGGAAAAATCTCTTGTCTTCAGGAAAACACGAGCCTAATAAAACACTATGTATGCTTATAGCACGTTTGATATAGGAAGCATTAAAATGAAAGGGTGAATGGACCAGTGAGCTAATTAATGAATGTCTCAAGAGAGAATTTTAGAGTAACTCAGGAAGAAGTGACAATGTAGAAATGTACTCATCAATTCTCGATATTCTCCTCATGCAACATAACTATATAAAACTATAAAACTGTGCAATCATATAATCAACTATGTAAAAACTGTAATCTATATAACTATATATACATACAGGGTGGAGGCAAAATTGGTTATAGTTGTTCATATGGAAAATAATATAATAATAAATAATAATACAAGAATAAACTGTTTCACATACTTCAACTGCAAACCTACTTTTGCCATACCTTGTATATACAATCTATATATTTATCTAGTATATAAATCTGGATAAGTGCCAGCTAGCACAGATAAGCTAGAGAGAAAACAAGAGAGTTTGGGTTCGTTTTGAAGAAAAGTGAGGTAGGCCACAAATCACCTACCAAGCTGTGATGGGGGAAGAGGATTTAAATGAAATTTTGCTATGTATTATCAATGACACTCCCTTGCAGTTTCTTATGAGAATGTAATATGGATTTAAATAAATTTTTAATTATTTCTAAATGTCACTTGTTTTTTATTCCACTAATATATATCTATATGTATGTATGTATATATACATACATATATATATATATATATATATATATATAGCTAAAAGGCAATTCTTTGAGACTATGTTTGCACTGGCAGCTTCTGTAGAGATAGGCCTTATAGGAGAAGCAAGAAGGAGCAGCATTCAATAGGCTACAACAAAAGCAGAGATCAAGAAGAAAAAAAAAATATTCCAAACTGCTTCTTGTTCAGTTCTTTGAGAATATCAATTGGATGACTAATGTCATGGCCTGGAAGTCTATTATATGCAATTTAGAAAATGTATGTGGGGTGGTAGTCAACCAACAGATGAACTTGAATGCAACTGTTCAAATTGAAGACTTCCTGTACACTGGGCAACCTTTTCCCCATAGTCAGTCATGATGCTTTTCAATTCTCTTCTAAAGATCAAAGCAAAGCATTACCAGCTTGCATGAATTTCTCATGAGCTGTGATTAAGTGCAACTAAATTCTAAGTACTGTTACACTGAGAAATGTCTTCAATTTAAATGCATTGACATGAAAATAATATAGGCACCAATCAACAATAACCCATAACCACTTGCATTACAAAACTGGTTTTCCTTTAAAAAAAAAAAAAAAAAGCAAAATCATGATACTTCCCTAGATATGATTCACATAAAGTATTTTCCATGATTAACAATGACATTTGTCTTGTACCGGGTGCCAGGAGTGGGAGCCTGTGGCTGACTGAAGCCAGCACAACAACAGAGATCTCTCCTAAAGATGGGATATTGTGCCACTCCTTCTTCAAGATCTTCCAGAGGAAACTAGATGATGAGCATGTTGATGAATTCTAAAAACAATCTGCTGAATGCTTTTTGATGCTATACCCTGATTACTGGCTGACCTACATAATTTTGGCAATGCTATTGTCCTAGAGGGCCTGGCGTTTTGACAAGCAGTTAAGGTCCTCAGTTCAGAGGAATTTTGAGAAAGCCGAGATAAGCAGACCAATATCCTAAAACAGCATGTTCTTCTGATCTTTTAAATGTCAAAGGGGCCACATTAGTGTGTTATTTTGAGCAAGGAAAGTTCTGCCTTAGAAAGACTGTCATTGTAAACAGCGAATCCCCCAGCGGTCACACACTCCAGATCAAGTACACTTTTCTGGCAAGAAGCAGTGGCTCTCCACCTGGGGCTGGGTGAGAAGGCAAACTAACTTGGCAGATTAAATGTCCTATGTAAATTACTATCTGTTGCTAATGAATATGATTGTTGCAAAGAGTGTTGTAAAGATACAATAGGACAATGTACAGAGCATACCTACGGGGGCACCTGACATTATCATCACCCTCACAATACATGCTCATTCTGCCCATGCTCAGATCAGGGGCTTTAAGAATAAAGGTAACCACAAAAGGTTAGCTGCACGCCCATGTTCACTGAAGCCTGTTCACAATAGACAAGCTGTGGAAACAACCTAAATGTCTACCAGTGGATGAATAAACAAAACATGATATGTACACACAAGGGAATATTATTTAGCTTTTAAAAAGAAGGACGTGCCATCATGGAGGAACTTGGAGGACATTATCTGAAGTGAAATAAGCTAGTAATAGAAGGACAAATGTCTAGCCCACGTATATGAGGTTTCTGAAACAAACTCCTAGAATCAAAGAGTAGAATGGTAGTTGCCAGGAGACAACAGGGAGGAAGAAATGAGAAATGGCTAACCAGTGGGAACAAAGTCTCAATTAAGTTTCTGAATAAATTCTAGAGATCTGTTGTGCAACACTGTACCTACAACTGACAATAAAGGATTGTGCACCTAAAAATTTGTTAAGCAGGCTGATCTCATGTTACGTCTTCTTACTACAAAATAAAACAAAATTTTTTAAAGAAAAAAGATAAAGAAAACAATATTTCCTTTTATGCAGCCTCATTTTAGAACAGAATATCTCTAATATCTCAAAAGTATTATACTGTAATAAACTTGTAATTTTATGTTTTCTAATAAAAAATTTTTCAAACATTATTTTGTTAATAATCCAATAGGGTGACAACTTAAATAATGACTGTTTCTAAAAAAGTCAGTTTACTCATTGGACATCTTTGGCAGGAGCATAATTGTCCTATTAGAGAACTAATAGGAGCTTTAGGTATTACTTAAAAAAAAAAAAAAAAAGGAAATTAAGCGAAGAGATTAAGAAAATACAAGACCTGGTGTTAGAAAAGTATGTCTGTATAAGGCTCTTTGCTCTACTATGATTAGCTCCCTGAAATCATGCAAGTCATCCTTAAATGGCATATGAGAAAGAAACATTGGCTCGTTGTTTTCTCCTAAATTATTGCCTTTAATTCTCACAAAAACTTTGCAACATAGGGATTATCAGCACTACTTTTTTTAAGGTAAGGAGAGTAGGGCCAATGAAAAATCATAAGCTGGGACTGAAATCCAAATATAACCAAGCTACAAAACTCTTGCTCTTTTCAATACACCTCGCTGCCATTTGGCAGGTGACGTGAGTCTTGCAACATCCTTGCTAATAAAAGAAATCCCTCTTGTTCATTTTCTGGCTGTTTCACAGAAGAAGTTGATTTCGGAGGCCAACTGTTCCAGGATCACATACCTGTGGTAGAGTCGATGGTAAAAAGGGAGGACAGGTCACTGGGGAGGAGCTTGTAAGCCACTGTTCCATAGACCCCAGAATCCCTGTCGGTGGCAAGAACATTGATGATCTCGGTTCCCGGCTGGGTCTGGCCACTAATGCTCAGCACATAGGTGGGCGGGCTGAACACAGGTTCATTATCATTCACGTCCTCCACATCCACACGAACAAAAGCTTGAGCGCTTAGTCCACCCTGTTGAGGAATGAGAAGCCATTACGAACGGATCGTTGGTGGAGGGCACAATTTTAGAGAAAAAAAATCACCGGTGAAAGCTTCACTAAGAAGATGCCATTTGAATTTTAGATAGACCTATATGAGGGAGCTGGACTCTAGTCACCTGGAGGAAAAGCATAACAGAAAAAGGGAAGAGCAAGTACACAGGCCCTGAGGCAAGGGTGCAGTGCCCATTCCAGGCCTGTTTGGGGAACAGAAAAGCAGGGACAGAGCAGGGAGGATTCTGGGAGCCCCTGAAAGAACCAGGCTCTGACCCACTGGAGGGTTCTGAAGAGAGAAGTTGCTTGATTTGACTTGGATGTTCTCTGGGACTCTGGCTGCAGTATTACGAACAGACTGAAGGCCAGCAAGGGAGTAAGGAGGGAGAACACCCGGGAGGAAGGAGGAAAACCACAGATTTAGAATAAAACCTGAAGGCGATGGTAGCAGTGAAGATAGTATTCCTAAATATTTGAGGCCAGATCTGTTTCACAATTCTGAATTTTTCAAATTTTAGAAAAGTAATATACTACATAAAATAGCGAGAAGTGGATCTGATACTGTTTATTTTGTGGCCCCTTCATCTCAAAACACGAAGAAGGGGAGAGACTACACTAGAAGACTACAATACTTTTCTAAAGTGAAACATATGTTCCTACTTTAAAGCACCATTTGTATCTGGCACATTTTGATACTTTCATCTTTGACAAAAATCCTTGGTAAGTCACAGCCTGGGTTTTCTCACTCGTTCAGGCCTCCCCCCACCCCCCTTCTCTTGCTCTCTTTCTCTTCATTTTTATTTTTTAATTTTTTATTTTTTTCCTATGGCAGAGAAGCCCTGAGGAGGAAAGGCAGTGGGAAAGAAGTTTTGGTAGGAGAGGAAAGGAGAACTGCTACAGTGCAAGTCTGCAGGAAGCTCATGTGAGGGCCAGAAGGGCCAGAAAAGTATTGAGGCTCAGTTAACCAGGGCTTGCTGAGGCTTACACTGCCAGCAGTGGCAGCAGCAGAGGGGTGATGGAGGCATCGCCTTCCCCTGATCTCTGGGTTGCCTCCTGCCCCGAGGGCTCCTGGACTGTGAGAGGGGGCAGGTTGGGCCCTTTAATACTAAACTCAAATTTGCTGAGATCTTGAGGAATTTCACCACTCAGTAAGTAAGCTGATGTATCTGTTAATTTCTTGATTGTGGTAATCATTTCACAATGTATATGTATAATCAAAACATCAAGCTGAACACCTTAAATACATACAATATTATTTATTAGTTAGAGACCTAGTGAATGGATTCGTGTACAGATAGGGTCTGGCCGGCCCATTCCAATCAGGCTGATCAGGCTGGGCTGGCCAGGGGGAGGAGCTGCAGGTGGTCAGCCAGCTGGCCCTGCCCTCTGACTGAAGTCCAGATCGAGGAGACAATTTGCATATTAGTCTTTTATTATAGGATTATATCTCAATAAAGCTGCAGTAAAAAAGAAAAAAAAATGAATGTGCCTTCTTATTTAGCAAGTTTGCTTTTATTTTAGAGATCTATCTACTTTACACACAAACCATGTAGCACAAATAATAGCCAACTTTTATCATGAATGCCTGTAATGGTGAAGGGCTAAATCAATTTACTTTCTGTATTGCTAGTTTGCCCCATCTCAACCCTAAGCCTGGAATAGTGAGATAGAGATGAAATAGCTTTATCTCAGACACATATTTCAGCTACAGAATTCAGGATGTCACAGAAAATAGAAATAGTATGTTAATAGATATATATACCAAAAAGGAGACATTCACTTAATGAAAATAAATGGGAAAAGGAAACAGGAATTAGGTAAAGCCTGGAATAATTAAATTATAGGGCTTTATTGTGAAAAACTTCTTGACTCCAATGTAATCCAATTATTTGTTTCCATTGTATGATTTTATAATATCCTCAAGGCATCTACGAGTGAGATAAATAGCAGCAACAGTAGAAGCAAAAAAAAAAAAAAGTAGGTTATTTCAGAAGTGATACCAGTAAAATAGGAGAAGTGATTGAATTTTTTAAATATTGACAGTCATCACAAGAATAAATGGAAAAGAAGCCCAGAACAACTAGGTATTTTATAAGAAAAAATTCTTCTTTTGACAGATAAATATCTTAGTAACCATCAGCAAATGGGTTGTCAGCAATTTTCTTCCAAAGAGCTTTCAAGACATGTGTTAGAAAGAGGAAGGATCAGAGGAAAAACCACAAACTATCAAGGCAATTCTGTGAAGTTAAAAGTCTTTTGTCAAAGTATAGTTCATTGTTTTAAATAAATTTACTGTGGCCTAGATTCCACTGTCTTGAACCTAAAATATCTGTCTGAGTTAATTTAGTCTTCTGACCCAGTCTAGATTGTATTTAAAGGACAGCCTATTCAGTCATTGTCAACAGTGTTATATTCATCTTTGCTAACCTTTCTGATTAGGGACATATGCTGCTGGTAGATATTGCACACAACAATCATGACAGATGCAGACTTCACCTTGTAGAAATACACAGTTCATCACAGAAGAAATGCATAAATATACAGACAACAGAATAAACACTGCACATTGGACCACACACACACCACACACACCCACACACACACACACACACACACACACACACACACACACACACAGTCTTACGTTGCTTGCTCTCATACATTCTAAGACAAACATTGAAGGCAGTTTTAGGTCCAAACAAAGTGATGGTTAGGAAGTTGTTAAAAACCTTATTTGAAGACATAGGGATAATTCTTCTAAAATTTGTCTTTAAAAATGCATGGCCAGCCCAGCCATGTGGCTCAGTGGTTGAGCATTGACCTATGAACCAGGAGGTCTCTGTTCAATTCCCAGTTAGGGCACATGCCTGAATTGCAGACTTGATCCCCAGCAGGGGCATGGAGGGAGCACCTGATCATTCCCTCTTATCACTGATATTTCTATCTCTCTCCCTTCCTTTATGAAATGCATGGCCAGGCATGCCCTCAGGAGAACGTGTGTAGCTCTCTCCTTGACCTCTTTGTACCTCCCTGGACCCATGGGATGGGCAAAAAGGAGAAGGTGGTTACCAAAATGGAGAAGAAGGTGTCCAAACACTGGAGAAGGAGGAGGCTTTGAAGCTCTGATAGCCCATTTCCAGACACTAGATGCTAATAAGACAGACGGTAGAAACACCGTGTCCCCATCTTCATCCACATTGACTGAGACAGATAAAGTGATCCTCTTTATTACATGGATCTTTAGTGTCCTGCATTTGGTGACCAAAACTTAGGAGTAAGTCAAATCAATAGGGGATTCTTTACATCATTGTGGGTATTGGATGGCAGCCTGGAAGACACAGCTAATTATTTTTAATGTTTCCATGAGTGTATAAGGGGTTACATCACTACAATGACATGTATGCCATTAGCCTGGACACAATCATGTGAAGCAAGTTGTCACCATGAGGGACTGGCACAACACCCAGACGGGGCTGCCAAATGTCCACCACTCCCCAGGGGAGCATAATCATCTATAGAGGCTACTGGAAACAGTCAACTAAGGTGGACAAACTCACCCTGCATTCAGTTATGTTCTGACTCAAGACCGAAGAAGGAAGGAAAGGCAAATGGGTGTGGACTCAGATTACATCATGGGGCCTAGGGTGTACTCAACCTCTGGCATGTCAGTGGCTATGGCCTGGAATTATCAGTCACTGCTCCTCAGGGATGTCTGTGGTGAGTAAGAGGAAAAAAGCCTGGAGGACAACTTCTTTAATGACCTGTATTCTATGACACCTCAAAGAACTGCTGGTTTGTGGGACAGCTAGGTCAGAAAAGAGAAAATATAGGCGAGGCCAAAAGAAGTGCAGCCTGAAGGTGATGATGAGCACCTCAGAGCTCTTGGAGGTAGTCAAAGTGGTGGCCACAGAGGATGCAACTCTGATCACCGTTGAACATGTACTCTCTGCCCCAGATATCAGGAAAGAGAAAGGTGATTCTGACAAGCCAGTGGCCCTCTAACAGCCTAGTCTCACTCCAGTTCTGTACTGGCCATGAAACACCAGCTGCGTTATATTTGCGGGAGTATGGTTGAAGCAGTTCACCTCGATGACTTGATGAAAGAGTGGAAGATGGTGGTGGAGATTGATCCAAACACTCAAGCGCATCTGGAGGAGGTAAACTTGAAAAAGAAGGGAGAGGAGATAGAAGATGCAAAATGAGGAAATGAATATGAGAAAGATGATGATACCGGAGAGGGAAGTGGGGAAGAGGTTGGTGACACCTGAAGGGGAGCATGAGGACTATCTGTCCAGGACTGAGCAAAATTGAGTGAAGCTTGTATGGGACCACATGGGGCTTGACACAAAAAAAACCAAGTTGCTGAAAGTAACCAATGTTATGCCAAAAACTTTCTTTGATGATTTCTGATGCTACCCTGGGCCAACAATTAGCCATTGAGTAGTGAATTCCCTCAGTATTGGATGTTATTTCCAATAAACTGGAGTGAAACAAGGCAGCTGCTAAGAGTTTCCTGTGCATAGTCCTACTTATCCCAGAAGTTCTGGTGAGCCCTGTGCCTTCCTCTTCAAGGGGACTCTGCACCAGAGCAGTGTATGGGTCATGTATTCTATCTTCTGTGTCTTGGTACTTTAACATCTGGGACCTTCTGATTCTGGAAGGACTGACCAGGATCAGGTGAGCATGTTTGTTTGTTTTTAATTATTGAAAAGTGAAGTGATTTTTATTTTATTTTTTTTAAATATATATATTTTATTGATTTTTTACAGAGAGGAAGGGAGAGAGATAGAGAGCTAAAAACGTCGATGAGAGAGAAACATCGACCAGCTGCCTCCTGCACGCCCCCTACCAGGGATGTGCCTGCAACCAACGTACATGGCCCTGACCAGAATTGAACCTAGGACCTTTCAGTCCGCAGACCGATACTCTACCACTGAGCCAAACCGGTTTCGCCAGGTGAGCATGTTTTTCAAGTGCAAA